ATCAAAATTCGATCCATTGACAGCCCTAGATATGCTTGGAGGATATCCAAGTTGTCAAAATTGTTACGCGGTGCATTGTACTGGAAAATGCTTGTTCTCTAGTTTACACATGTCGAAACTTCTGAGATTTCGAAAATATTTGATGTGTAGAAAACGAGCAATTGAAAAATCTGATGAATAGAACATGCTCGTGGGAGATTGTGTGCATGACGATTGGGATGATGATATCAAACTTGTAGGAGATGGTCCTTCTTTATTGAACAAGAAGGTACTTGCACGGTACTTTAAAGAGCTTGCCAAGTTGGATGAAAATGATATGCTCATGGGAGATTTCATCTAATGGGAATGATTTCAACAATGGGGGTACAATCCATTCGAATGAGTCAATGAGACCGACTTCTTATTGCCCGTGGATCTAGATTGTGGATCGATCATTCAACCCAAAGATATATCGACTATGGGAGAAGTTATTAAAGAGAATGACGTGTTGATCACAACGGAATCAAATTAGGATGTGGCAATCAATGAGAATGAAATCAATTTACATTTTTTCAACTTTATTGATTGTCCAAAAATTGATTTTGTGATTAAACCCGATGTAAGAGTGGAAGTTTACATAGTTGAAATTGAATCGGATAAAATAGAAAAGTCATATTACATCGAAAATGACAAGGTAGAAGTTTGGAGACTAAATGAAAAATTGATTAGTCAAACGAAGCAAAATGGACAAGGCATCCAAGTACCCGTGATTCAATTGCCAAAGTAGAGTTAAAGACTATTAAAAAAGTGCTTCTTGGGAGGCAACTCAAGCCCTTTTTCCTTTTTATTTATTTTGTTTTTGAGTTTTAGGATAATTTAATTTATTTTAAGTTTATTTGTGACACCTTATCCATATCTCTTTTCCCCTTATATCTTCAATATGTTAGTTGATTTATTAGATGTTAGAGTTAAGTAACACTTGTTCTAATTATTTGATCTTAATGATTTATTTATTTTTTAGGAACATGATGTCGTAGAACATTTAAACCAATATTGATCGAGAAGCTAATATGAGCAATATGAAAGCTAGTATTTGAATTACAAATCATACTAGGGAAGTTTTTTTTTTCTCCACCCCTTTATATGCGGATTTATGATTAAAGATATTGAGAACAATATCTAGTTTAAGTTTGGGGGTGAAAAATATGAGTTTTCATTTTAGGGCCACGAATAAGTGTATAAACTACACTTATCACACCCCCAAACTTGAATCTTTATTTGTACTCAAACAAAATTAAAACTTAACAAACACACAAACAAGCAATGTTAAGTACCTCATTGGTTGCCGGTCAATCAAGTAAAGCAACAAGATTTAGCTAGCTAATCTAGCTTTTTATCTCGGGATTGAAATCATAATAACAGATCTATGCACAGTTTCAAAATTACGATACAAAAATTAAAATCCACTTTTCTAATGTAAAATCGACGTGTGTGTGAAGAATTAAGTATAATATTATGAATTAAACATTATTATTGTTTCAGCTATGGTCGCGATAATTAAAATTGAACTAAATCAATCTTTTTAAGATGATACTTGAACTCAAATTCACTTTATTACTTGTTAATGAATCGCACAAATCTCACACTTACGATGATTTTGAATTGAAGACATAAATGTTCACTCTCTAATCTAATCGTTTTTAATTATACTAGGAAAAAGTTTAGAATATTGTTCTTTAAAATTGTTACGCGGTGCATTGTACAGGGAAATGTTTGTTCTCTAGTTTACACACTCCGAAACTTCTGAGATTTCAAAAATATTTGATGTGTAGAAAACAAATAATTGAAAAATCTTATGAAGAGTACATGCTCGTGGAAGATTTTGAGCTTGACGATTAGGATGATAACATCAAACTTGTGGGAGATGGTCCTCCCCTATTGAATGAGAAGGTACTTAAACGGTACTTTAAAGAACTTGAAAAGTTGGATGAAAACGATATGCTCATGGGAAATTTCATGTACTGGGAAGGATTTCAACAATGGGAGTACAATCTATTCGAAGGAGTCAACAAGGCCGAATTCGAATTCTCATTGTCTATGGATCTAGATTGTGGATCGATCATTCAACCCGAAGATATATCGACTATGGAAGAAGGGATTAAAGAGAATGACATGTTGATCACAACGGAATCAAATGAGGATGTGGCAATCAATGAGAATGAAATCAATTTACATTTTTCCGACTTTATTGATTGTCCAAAAATTGATTTTGTGATTAAACCTGATGTAAGAGTGGAAGTTTACATAGTTGAAATTGAATCGGATAAAATAGAAAAGTCCTATTACATCGAAAATGACAAGGTAGAAGTTTGGAGACTAAATGAAAAATTGATCAAAGCCAAACGAAGGAAAATGGACAAGGCATCCAAGTACCCGTGATTCAATTGCCAAAGTCGAGCTAAAGACTATTAAAAAAGTGCTTCTTGGGAGGCAACTCAAGCCCTTTTTCCTTTTTATTTATTTTGTTTTTGAGTTTTATGATAATTTAATTTATTTAAAGTTTATTTGTGACACCTTATCCAACTCTCTTTTCCCCTTATATCTTCAATATGTTAGTTGATTTATTAGATGTTAGAGTTAAGTAACACTTGTTCTAATTATTTGATCTTAATGATTTATTTGATTTTTTAGGAACATGATGTCGTAGAACATTTAAACCAATATTGATCAAGGAGCTAATATGAGCAATATGAAAGTTAGTCATTGAATTACAAACCATACTAGGGAAGTTTTTTTTTTCTCCACATTTTTCTCCACCCCTTTATATGCGGATTTAAGATTAAAGATATTGAGAACAATATCTAGTTTAAGTTTGAGGGTGGAAAATATGAGTTTTCATTTTAGGGCCACAAATAAATGTATAAACTACACTTATCACACCCCCAAACTTGAATCTTTATTTGTACCCAAACAAAATTAAAACTTAACAAACACACAAACAAGCAATGTTAATTACCTCATTGGTTGCTGGTCAATCAAGTAAAGCAACAAGATTTAGCTAGCTAATCTGGCTTTTTATCTCGGGATTGAAATCATAATAACAGATCTATGCACAGTTTCAAAATTACGATACAAAAATTAAAACCCAATTTTCTAATGTAAAATCGACGTGTGTGTGAAGAATTAAGTATAATATTATGAATTAAACATTATTATTGTTTCAGTTATGGTCGCGATAAATAAAATTGAACTAAATCAATCTTTTTAGGATGATACTTGAACTCAAATTCACTTTATTACTTGTTAATGAATCGCACAAATCACACACTTACGATGATTTTGAATTGAAGACATAAATGTTCACTCTCTAATCTAATCGTTTTTAATTATACTGGGAAAAAGTTTAGAATATTGTTCTTAAAAGTATACATACACTAATATATTAATAATTTCAAAGTGTGAATCCAACATTTTCAAGACACTTCGAGATCCAAAGTTACCAAAATAATTCTACAAACGTTATAGAATTGCAGAAACGTGTGGTCCTAGACCCACCACCTTATCCACTGCACATTGAATTGTTTTCTTGTGCTTCAAACTGCAATATCTAAAGCATAAACAATGAGAATAAAGCTGTATAAATTATCAAACTGGGTTCAATGCATCTAACGTCCGACATTCATTTTCCAAATACCCATCAAGATTTTGAAATGTATCGAAATGCATGTACAATCGTTTAGCTTCATGGAAGATTGTAGAGTTTGACGGAAAATGTTCGTCAACAAATGTCTGGTCTGATGATTTTTAGCCAGGATTTTGATAGATTGAGTAAGACTATTGATTCCTTTCTTGTACGAACACAGGCAAACCATTTTTTACTGTAGCAGTCAAGCCCGGCGTGAACTTGAGAGTGTGACTTGGGTTAGCCATTTGGATGTCAAACTGCCTAATCAAAGACAAAGCAACAATTTTCATTTCCACCAATGCCATTTCTTTACCCAAACAAACCCTAAACCCGGCCTGAAATACTGGGTACTCGAAAGGATTTACTCGCTTGAAAATCCCATCTTGTAACCATCTTTCGGGCTTGAACTCAAGGCAATCCGGGCCCCAAATTGTTTCCATTCTGCCCATTGCATAGGGATGGTATGTAACCCTAGTGCCTTTTGCTACAAATGTACCATCTGGGAGAATATCATCTTCTTGACAGAACTTTGAATCAAATTGAACTGGGGGAAATAGTCTCATGCTCTCATGCACTGCTGCTTGTAGATAATGCATTTCCTTCAATTGCTTAAAACTCGCGAGATCTTGAGTTTTCGACCCCATTACTTGGTCTGATTCTTCGCGAATAGCCAGCATGACATGGGGATGATTTGACAATAGCAAGAAGAAAGTGGTTAAGGCTGAGGCAATGGTATCTCGCCCTGCCAGGACAAAGCTTATGACAATGTCCCGGAGGAATTTGTCGTCGTCTATATTGGTCATGAATCTCGACAAAAGGTCTTCATGAGAGGAGACATCCATGTTTCTTTTGTGCTTGATCAGCTCCTCAGCTAGGACATTAACCAATTTAATGGCTTCTCTCAGTTTCTTCTCACTGCCTAAATTGAAAAATCTTTTGATTTTCCAGATCAGTGGCGATACTGTCAATGCGCGCTCTGCTGATAATTTTGATGCAAGATCAAAGGCCACTGCAAATTCTGAAACGGGCAGTGACAATTTTAGGCAGCCGGGGTCTAGTCCGAATGAAAATTTACAGATGCTATCGAATGAAAATCTTCGAAACACGTCTTGTAAATCAAGAACACCATTTTCTTTACCGGCAAAAGAGGAAAATACAGGAAATAGCCTGGAACGAATTTCAGACACTACAATCTCAAATGCATATGATTTTACAGAAAGATTGTTTAGTTCTAGACTAGCCATTTTCCTCTGAAACTTCCATAAATGGCCATCCACGTTGAAAATCCCTCTCCCCAGAAGATCACCCAAAATGGATGAAAATTTTTTGCCTTTTGGGTAATTATCAAATCTTGTTTTGAGCATGTACTCAACATTTTCTGGATTGGCAGTGATGATATTACCAAGAACATGAACACGAATTGTTCCGGTTTTCGATTTTTGCAGAAGATGAGAGTACCAATCACACAAATTACTGAACTCCAAGGACCATCTTGAACTGACAAAACTTTGACAGATTTCACAACTACACCATGGCTTCAATCTCAGAAGAAAAACCGAGAGAGAAACAATAGAGAAAGAGGCTATAGTAATGAAGAACAAGAACAAACATATCCATGTGAAAGCTTCAAAAATCATTGTTAAAGAATACTTTGAGAGAGAATAAGAGGAAGGATCTGAGAAAGAGGCAGGAAAGAACGAGATTGATGGACATCAAAGGCTATGATTTTATACAGTTGGAATATAGCCTACTGTCATTTTCAGTGTAAAATTATTCATATTTTTCTGTGTGTCACTGTGTTCACCTACTGTGGATTTTCTTTCAGAATTTGTCGCCAGTTTTTGCACGAGGCTAACGGGAAAATAGGCATAAATAATGCGTGCGTTAAATAAAGAAAAATGACGTGTATGTACGAAACGTCTTATTTCATACTACACGTAAGTTCACGTGCATTATTAACTATGACCAAGTATACTACAGTTAATTAAAGCCTAAACATAAGTGCACTATATTTTAATTAATAATGATATGTAAGGGTTGCAATCTCAATTTAAATGGAAGGTGGAATTAAATGAGTCATTTAATTTCACTTTTCATTTAATTCAATATCAATGTCAAGAATTTCAGTAGGATTAAATAGCATTACTCTTTTTTAATTGAATGAACTGTCCATAATTTTTATTTATTGTTATATTTATGTCAATTAATCATAGTTGAATGTGCGTATTAATCTATTTTAATTGAATGAACTGTCCATAATTCTTATTTATTGTTATATTTATGTCTATTAGTCATAGATGATTGTGCGCATTAATCTATTTTAATCGAGTGAACTTTCCATAATTTTTATTTATTGTTATATTTATGTCAATTAGTCATATTTGAACGTTTGTTGTACATTATTCTGAAATACTTTATAAGTGTTATAAAAATAATATTATAAGATGTGAGAATATAAAAAATAATTAATACAAATTGTTTATGTGGAATGAACTTTTGATTCAAATGAAATAAAAACTAGTTTGTAAAAACAATTTAAATAGTTCAAGAAGTCAATTACCCTTTTGATCTGAACTTCAACATCCAATGAATAGCATCATTTCTTTATATTTGCTTCATATTCGTTGAATATATCAATTAGAATTATTTATTATAGATACATTTCATTTCCCTCCATTTAGCTTCTCTGTATCTTGACTTTCATTGAATAAATCACTTGGAAGAAAAATCTAAAAATATTCGTCTTTTATTTAAAATTTTTAATGAATTTAATTTACTATCCAATCAAGTGGAATGAATGTGTCAAATATATATTAATCATAACTAAATAATTAACAAAATAATTCATGATAATATTGTTCAAATGATTAAATAAATCAAATACATATTGAAAAATGAAAAGTTAATAAATATGATCAAATGTACATTCATCATAACTAAATAGTTGACAATAATTAATGATAATATTGTTCAAATGGTTCAAATAATTAATAAATTAAATACATATTAAAAAACAAAGTAATGTATTATTGAAATAATTGAATTGTAATAAGGATAAAATAGTCCAAAAAATAATTATCATCCGATGTGATATTTAATATACTATAGATATGAATACTTTTATTTATCGCATTTTTTCTTCAACCTTCTATTATTTAGTACATTATGTCATAGATAACGATTTTCATCCAAAATTATATCAGAGAGTAAAAAAAGAATTTTACCCCTGAATTTATAGCACACACTATTAAAGCTTTTGGACAAAAACTGCAATTGAAAATAATTTGTTAATTAATGAAAAATTAAGAATAAAAATATGATGAAAAAGTTTAAGGCTCCTTTTTTTTTTTGTAGTCCTTAATTAAATAATTTTTACTTCCAAGTGCTGGAAATCTAATATTAGTAAATTCTTATTAAGGGCGAAAATCCTATCTTTGGTTATATATATATATTGAAGGTCATTATTTTTATATATTATTACATTTATATCATTAATTTTTTTGATAAGTGTAATTTGTACACTTATTTAAGAAATTAGAGTATTTGTTAGTGTTTCAGATGAGTTACAACTTAAATTTGTGTTAATTATATTTATTATATTAAATTCAATACAAATTGGTGGATTTGGAAGAAATGAAAAAAAAAAAGTGTGAAAACGAAGGAAATTCAAAGTTTGAGGACCAAAGTGTAACATATATAGTTGATTCGGATCACAAAACGATAATTGAATATTATATAGGATTTAATTGGATGCAATTGAAGGTCAAATGAGTGAAATATAGTGGAAATATTTTCACAAATCAACTTCCAGCCGAAAAAATTATGCTTCGGATTTGTATCCTCAACTTGAGACCCATTTTTCGGATGGCAAACGTTCGAATTGGAAATATAGTATCTCTAGAATAATTGTAGCCCTTTTAATTATAATTTCAACACATTTTAAATTACCTCAATCAGATATTTGTAGAGCTATTTATGACCAAAATACTAAAAACTGCTTAGGGACGAACTGAAGCGAACCTGCGCACGGGCATTTTCGTAAATGAATCAATAGTTTCCTTTTGCGATTCAAACTCTTTTGGAACTCAAACTGAACGCAATTTTGACCCATTTTTGGCTCTTATAAATAGAGAACGAGAGCTACGCATTGAAAATATCCATCCCTTGCCTCTTCATACAAAATATTATCATCAAATACATCAAGAATAAGGGGCCAATTACTATATTTTGAGAAAGGAGATCAATACATAAAGTTTGAAGAATTCAACTTTGGGCTTGAAGATTAACATCTTTTGATTTATTTCATGATATGGTTGATATTTTTCTAATTATTCTTCTTGTAATTTATATATTAATATGTTAGGCTAGATCCATTATTTGTATTGAATGAAGATGAACTTTGTTGTTTATTTATTTTAATTCAAGACTAGTAGTTTAGTTTATTTTTTGCATTTCTTGATTAATTTTGCATACCCATTGTGTTATTGAATTGATTGGCCGCCAATTAGATAATTAGTTGCTTGTTGTAGTGATGTGAGACTCACAATAAATTTAGAATGCGGTAAAATTAATATATGAACAATAAATGTTGGGAATAACATTTAAATTTTAATGCATTCTAATAATTCGAATTCGGATTAGGAATAGATTTGGGTTGTGGTTATGATATATTTAATTTGTTTTGAAAAAGAAAATTATATATAATAATTTTATCGATTGTCAAGAACGCAAGAACAGAATTAGATTACAAATCAATAATTGAATTAAATAACAATGAGCGGATTCGATATCCAATACAATAATCCATAATTTGATAAAATAAAATAAAAAAACCCCTAATTGTACCGCTTTCTTAGATAATTTAGCATAAAATCAAATCAAAATCTCTTTTTTTGTTTACACAATTCGAATTTCATACATAACTAATAAACTTGAATATAATTTATTCATAGTGAGATGATAACNAATACAATCATCCATAAATTAATAAAAATCACATTTTTAAAGCTTTCTTAGATAATTTAGCATAAAATCAAATCAAAATCTCTTTTTTTGTTTACACAATTCGAATTTCATACATAACTAATAAACTTGAATATAATTTATTCATAGTGAGATGATAACATTTAACTCATCAATTCTATTACTTATCAACGATTTCGCACGCTTGCAAGTTTCACGCGAACATTTTTCATCTCATTTTTATTTTTAACATTTTATTAATTAAAAAAGTACTGTCATTAATCATAATTTGTCGAAAAAAAAAATTAATGTGCTTTAAAATGATTGTCAAATATTTAATTGTTTTATTATTATTATTATTATTATTATTATTATTATTATTATTATTATTATTATTATATAAAATGATCAAATATGTCTTTTTACATTATTTTAAAGAAAATTTTGACGAAAAATCATAATCAAGAATAATTTATGTTAATGAAAGAGTAAGAATGCCGTGAGAAAAAGTTTGAGAGACATATACGATATATGTGTAAAAATTAATATTAAAAACCATCATGAAAATATTTTTAGCTGAACGAAAATACTAACCAACATGAATTTGAGTTAATTATCTTGACAAGTTGGACATTTTAAAATAGAATCGTAATATATAGGGTAATTAACGCATAACGTCCCCACCTTTCACTACTATTGTGGAAAATGTCATTGCCTTTCATTTTTTGACATTTTCACATTTATTTGTGCAAAATGTCGTTTTCATCAATTTTAAAATAGAATCGTAATATATAGGGTAATTAACGCATAACGTCCCCACCTTTCACTACTATTGTGGAAAACGTCATTACCTTTCATTTTTTGACATTTTCACATTTATTTGTGCAAAATGTCGTTTTCATCAATTTTCTCAATTCAAAATCGTAAAATGACGAATATACCCTTATTTTTAAATAAAACAAAAATAAAAAGGAAAAAATTAATTGCAACCATAGTCCTATTTTAAAAAGATGCAAACGAATTCCAAATAAATTATTAAAAAGGTAATTAGCACATAATGTTCATACATTTCACTATTATTGAGAAAAATGTCCATATCTTTTTTTTTTTGATATTTTCACCATTAATTACATATTTAATTTTGCGAACCATTATTTCTAATCCAATTTCTCAATAAATTGTGTGAAATGATGAATATACCTTCATATTAAAAAAAA